AAGTTGACAGTAGAGAGTCAAATTGTTCTTCGGAGAGGGTAATTCTGGGGCCGATATCACCACAGAAATTAGAATCGCAGGTATACAGCTTTCGGGGTCTGCAGCTTGAGCCACATAACGCAAGAAAAAGCTTCGATAATGCCAAGGAGTTCAGTTTCCTTATTTGGCTATCCTGATTGGTATGGGTAAAGGCTTGCAGGCTGTAAACATCGAAGCGAAAATCAATCCGGCTCATCATCTGTCGCCTTCCCAGGAATGGAACTGTCTGCTGCCGTGGATCAAGCAAAAATTCCGTTGTGTAATGTGCGAGTCCTATTGTTTGGAGGTTCTTAAATCGATCCATACATTCCCGAAGTCGAACACTGAATGCTTCTGATTCCAGCAGGTTGGAATTATCCGCAAGCATGGCTTTATGGACAGCATACCGACTTTCCAGCTCATCGCCATTGACTTGTCGGCAGCTTTTTGATGATATAGATACCATGCCGAGGGGCTTTTTAGTACCATCGAACACAATGGGTATCATCCATAGCTCTTGGACGTGCTGGCGGAGACCATTTGACCTGGATAGTTCTTCCAGTTCGTGGAGACTTTCGCTTGTCATAATGAAACGGATTTTTCGATAAAAGGTCTCCGCGAAGTTCTCCAGTGAGTTTTTGTACAATGCGCGGCATGATAACCTCAGAGCGACCAATTGCTGGAAATCCAAATGGTTACATATCTTTGAGATCAATTCCTCGGGCAGAGCTGCAATGGACATTTTGGCTGCGTGTGTGGCGTTTCAAGGTTGAGAACAATAATAATAAGAGGCTCGGTTTGTTATCCGCAGAAATGAGCAGTAATCAGCCTCACTCCCCAGGGTTCTGGGCTCCCTTTGGCGAGAAAGCGAAATCAAGGTAAGATTTCTACGCTGAGAGACAAAGAGAAGTGTATTATTGTGCAGCGCTGGAGCGGCAGCCCCCGTTTATAGGAGAACCCGTGGACCTGGGCAGCGGAGAAAAACGTATTTTAGACCCACAGAAAATTGAAATACCTGTAATACCATATAAACAGCCCTAACAATGGTGTTATCCGCGGAGTCCACGCTTCCTATACTAATTACGGCCAACTGCAACCCCTCTGCAGTGCAGAGTCTATATTGATTCCTGTCCACTCCAGAGTCTATGGCCACCATAGTCCTGCCTTAGTGGAGTCTATATCTTACTTTTCTAGACTTTATATTTCCCTCTGTTTTATTTTTTTATTTTTTTTATTTTTTTTCTTTTCCCCCTCTACTCTCTCTCCCTAAGTTATTAACCAACATTTTCCTTTTCATGTGGTGGAGATTTAATGTTAATTAAATCTTAATAGTATTACTATCTATCTGTTTGTATGTGTGTATATATATATATATAGAAGTTAAATATCTATAAGAGATTTCACAGTCATCTATAATTCATAATTTATAATAATAGTTAAATTATTATCCCTATAATCTATCTGTCATACCCTGGGATCCGTCTCTGCTGTTCCTGCTAGTCACTACTTTGGGGATGATATAGTCCCTGGACTATATCTGATACTTGCCTAAGGACTACTGACTAGAGTTGCATTCGGTCCGAGTTCGGGCGACTCCAACCCCCAGTTGGAACCGAACCGCTGCAATTTCGAGTCCAAATTTTAGAAATCAGAACCAAACCTGATCCGTTCCGATTCGGTGCGAGTTTAACCGCAAAATCCGCCACTAGGCCTTGATAGGTAGTCACTAGCCTAGCTAGGCGGGCGGTATGCCTAGGCAATCTTAAAAATTTTAATAGTTTTCAGAATTCAATTTCTCATATCTTAGGGGCCTAATAAACATGCTTATATAAAATTATTTTTATATGAAATATATGGTAATTATAGTCATTTTAATCTATATCTAAATATTAATTTAATATCTATAGGGTTGAATGGGTGGTGGTTAAAAAATCATTCTTTGACTATAGTAATTGTCGAAGGTTGATGCACATATATAAATAAATCACCACTACTTTTATACTAACTTATAATAGAAATGATTATTCCCTTATATCTCACCAACCACAAAATATTTTGAATCGATATTTCATATTTAGATAGACTAGATACTAGGCTATCTTCTGATATTAATATTTCTAGAGAAATCTGAGAAATTAGTGATTACTAAGCAAAACAGTTTCTAGCAGTTTAACCACTGACCCCCTGAATCCAACCCTGACCCACCCCGAACCCGGTGCGATTTCTCAATCTAGGAACTGAATTGAACCGTTGCGAGTTCGGTGAGGGTTGGATTCGATTTTAGCGGTTCGGTTATGCAACTCTACTACTGACTAGGTAGCCTAATGATTTACTAGCCAGGCATATATCTGACACAAGGTATGAGGATCTAAACAGGATTAAGGATAATCTAAAGATATATATGAATCATAATAGCAAAGATAGAAGTAAGGCCTATTAAGTATATATACTTAATAGTAAAAGAGTAACTAATGAATTAGACTAGTAAACTTATACTTAAGTAAATAACTTATATTAAATATAAGGAACTAAAACTAAGAGTACTAGATATAATAATAATAAGCATTCTTATATATCCTTAGTTTCTCCTGTAATAGGCATGGTAGATAGTATATTAGTATAGTAGTAGATATTTATAATATTAATATACTATTTACATTACCTACCTATACCCTATGTTATGTAATCTATTATGATTATATTATTAGTAATAAGGTTGCTCCAATTGGGGGTACAGGTGGCGCACCATTTAATCTTTATAAAGAACAACAGCCTATGAAACAATTGGATATATGGTATGGCAAAGGCAGTGGTACTGCTGTATCATATGCTGTCTTGAAGGGGATTCACGTCACCTAGGCTGAAGGTAGTGACGCCAAAGTGGGACAAACACCCGCTGACGGAAATGTCGACGTACTACGAGCTAGTTACCGTTTCGCGAACGGAGGTAATGAGCCACTGCAGTCGATTGAGATATATGGAAACGAGCGTGCTGTATCTGTTAGACTTAGGACCACAGATAATGTCTAATTTCAGGTTGGAGCACCCGGTGACCATGTGAGAAACCAAGATGCTGCTGGTAAAATATTACGCGGCTTTCATGGGAAAGTGGACCAGGACATTGATCAGCTAGGGGCAGTGTTCGAAGATTAGTGTGGTGAGTGTGAAATACTTAAAGCAACTTTCAAAAATATTGATTCTAACAAACAACCTAGATAACTTTATTTATAGGGAGGGACGATGTTTTACATGATATTCTCTATTACTATATTATGATGACGCTTACTATTGATATATCAACAATCGCAGGAAACGACATAAGGATGTTCAGTTGTCTACCATGCATGTAGTTTCTACTTAGTCTGTGATAAATTGTTAATTGTCATTGCATTAGGTCAACTTGTCAGGATTTGACCTATAGCTGAAATGTACACGCTCTAGTTAACTGTACTTTAACTAGGAGCTACCAGCCTACTACTAACTCAGGTACACCAGTGACATGCCCTTATGAATGAACTAATGAATAGAGTACTGCTAGAGCTGAAATCCATACAGTTGGTGGTGGTGGTGGTGGTGAATTCATACCCTGACCCCTCGCCTAGGTGATATGCAGGATACAACTATCTAGTCCTTGCATGTGTCTATGTACAGTAACCATTACTTTCTAATAACTTTAGAGCTTCATCATGGCCTGTGGTGGCCTATTTACCTACTATTCTATTTAAAGCCCTATAGTGCACAGCTTTAAAACCTCTGTAATACCTCTGCGAAGTCTAGTATAGTACCTAAGATACTACTATCTTATATATTATCCTTCTTACCTTCTTTACCTTAAGATCCTCCTCCTAGCATACCTGAAATATCATTAAATATAGTCCTAATCTACCTCTATAGTTTATGCTATAGGACCTTTAATTTTAGATAGTCTACTAGAATATAGACTACTATTTCTAAGGCCCCAGTAATGGTGTCATGCGTGGAGTCGATAGCTCCTATACTAATTATGGTTGACTGCAATGCTACCAGAGCATAGAGTCTACATCCACTCTAGAGTCTATATTAGGCCTTAGCAGAGACTATATCTACTCCTAGAGTCTATATTTCCCCTCTTACTTCATGAGCTACCCTACTATCTCCCATACACTATGTAATATTTTATCTTTCATGTGTGGAGGATTGATTTAAAACTTAATTATTGCTATATAGGAGATCAATATCTATGAGAGAGTAAGTAGTTATCTATAATTTATAATAATAATTAGAGTTGCATAACCGTAGATCCGAAGACAACAAATTCATATTGGTCACATCAGGATTGTTCAAATGTCACTAAAATTGTCAACATAAGTATAACATAAGCATTAAGCATTTTAGGCACTCTCCAAGCCAGGATAAGCCGCATCGAATCCCGGAACTTGAAATCTCACAGTTCAAAAGAAAGGGTAAACAGGCTAATATTACTTCGTAACCACTTAGAGGATAGGGCGGCTAGGCCCCGCCAGTAACATAGTCTAGCCCAAATACTTATCTAGCCGTTCACTCATTTGCGGAAGAGACCATTCAACTTTTTTTCGCAGGATTTCAACTATTTGACTACCAGACAAAAACGCATCAACAAGGCCTTCCACCCCAAGTCGCCTCAGCCAGAGAATTTCGAAGATCGAAGTGTGTCAGCATCTGTTGTTCGCCCTACGTATTAAACCTGCGACCTCTATGACGTCATATCAGAGGTAGATCGAATTGAGGTCCGCAGGAGCCATGGAACCACCTACTAGAGTACGCTTTCATTTTGGAACTCCATGTGCGCCAATCAAGTAATCATATGGGCGTAACAAATACCATAGAGAGATATTTTAGCAGCGGGCTTCTGCTAATTGCAGGATAACCAAATTTTGACAATTTAATAACAGGGAGGTTAAGTTAAACTTTTCCCGCAGCGTTGAGGATGCAACAAACTAGACTTGCAGATAACTCAGGAATAATCAGGCCTTCACAACAAAGCCATAGATATTGTTCGACGCATTTATATCTCCTTTGCCCATCACCGTGCGATACACTCTGCTGCAGCTGCCCTGGACGTTAAAGAGCTGAAGGGTTTCGGCTCCTGGTGATCCTTCCCAGCTGATTTGTGTGCCTCTCTGGATGAACACGGCTCGACATCCCTGTGGGGTCGATCCCGACCACGTCTGGGTTCCAGCCTCGAGCTTCCAGGACGTAGCAGTGCCCAGAATCATGAGATAAATACTCAAGTTGAATAACTTCATCTTTAGGGTGGGAGATAGCGAAAGATGGACGCGTTCACCTGAGAACGGAAACGTATAGATGGTGGAAATGGCTTGTAATCCGTAGTGTGGTTAAGCCTGTTGCTATAACAGGGAGATGATTCTGTTGATTTATACTGCAAAGGACGATATGCTAGACGTTCCATGATGTCACCATGGTGCAAGAGTCTGCTGGAGACCACGGTGGCAATGGCTCAACAGAAAAGCCCGGTTGGTGCGAAGCTGTCCAATGGCCGCTTTTATCTCATAGAGTGCACTAATCAGGCGTAAGAATGACCCAGCTCTTGATTGACCTGAAGGTATCCGGGCCCCAGGGTCGGTGGGTGGTAACGATAAAAATCTTGACACATCTCTCGATGTGTCGTTATGTATCGGTACTGCCTACGGTGCGAATGGCAGGCCTATATAAAGACATCTAACCCCTTAACCAGTCAACCTAAGCTTCTTTACAAAACGAAAAGCGAAATACCAACTATGAAGACCTTTCGGATTTTTATTTAGTAACTTCCTTAGCTTGAGTAGAGGCCCGGTGGCAGCCAGATTGCCTTCTACATCAATAACAAGAGCAGCAAGGGCAATAGCTACACCGTCAGCGTCGGCGGGTTCCAGGCGAGCGACAAGGTCGTCGAGGTTCTTGGCTGCAAGACGAACACGGACGATTCCTTTGGCAACAGCACCATGTACATGGGCCAGGTCAGATTCCCCTTGACTTCGGTTCTGTTATTTACCTCTTTACCGCCAGCGAAGAAGAAGCACCCCATCAACTACATACCCTGGTACATGCCGAGATAAGGAGTGAACTGACTATTTTAAAGCCCCAGTCTTTAGCTGTGAGAGATCTTGAAGAGTAACAAACCCATGAGAAAGGTGGCGAGCCAATCGAGCCACCAAAGGATTGCTGGATCGCGAGTCAGGTTACAAGTCAATATATAATGTGTATATGGTTGAAAATCCAAGTCGAAACTTCTCTGTCCATTGGCCAATGTTGCTTTCTCGACCGCTGCCCTCCTCACCCTAACTACTCGGTACGATCAGGTACATTTCATGCACACCGCACTCCGCGCCGTGCCATACGGCGTTGCCTATCTCAACTGGGATTCCCTTTATACATTGACAGAGCCCATTCCCGTTGGAATAGTCCGTTGGCTCACACACCATGAAGGCCCCAGGCCCACAGTCATAAGCTTCCAAGCACATCGGGACGTTATCGCACATCGCCGCATAAGGTGGGGTGGTTTTGGGAGGGGGGGGCCAGCAAGTGCACGCTCCGGACTCGCAGTGAACGGCCCCGGGCTTGGGGCAGTTATCCTCGCATTCGTCAGTAAGACGGCAGGGGCCTCCGATTGGGACGCTCGAGGTTTTGGGAGGCGTTGGAGTGGTGGTGGGGATGGTTTTGGTAGGGGTAGTGGTGGTGGTGCGAGTGATGGTGCCGTCCCAGTCCTTGTAGTAGGGGCTGTCCGGGTTCTGCACGCTGTCCTGGTTGCGCGGGTCCAGGAAGTCCGGATTCTGCTTCAGTGGGGTGCCAGGGCAGAAGAAACCCGCGCAGCTGCTGCCACAGCCAGCGCCGGCGCAAGTTGGCTGAGGCGGGCCGGTGCGGAAGGTCAGGGGCGACGGCTGGGACGGGAACGCGACGGGGCAGGACCCGCAGCTGCTCTGCCGCTTTGCTTTGGAACCGCCGCTGCAGTCGCGGACATTGGATCGGCCCCCTTCTGACCCTTCCAGACCACATTGTCGGCATACTTATCGTAGGGCACATCGGGGTAATTGGGGTGCGGCTGCCGGTGGTATGCAAGATCCACAATCCTCTCCTTCACCATGGCGGCGGTGGTCAAGGTGGAATCAAGGCCGCTGAAATACGCTGCCAGACTGGCGACCGTTGCGGAGGCGTACGATGTCCCACTGGCGGTTTGGTACCCAGGGTCCCTTGAGTTAGTCGGGCCAGAGGTGGCCAACCGCAGGAAGAAACCAGGCGCGTAGCTGGTAGCTCAAAGCGCATTGGAGTGGGCCCAACCAGCCTGATCTAATAACCAACCTAATGATGATGAGCTCTGGGATATAGTTGCGGTCGTTGGGGTTTCTGAAAAGCACTGGAAAGCCGCTGGGCGAGCCTTTGTTGTTTCTGGAGCCTATGATAAATATAGTGCTGAGTTTGATGATTTCTTGAATCAGCAAGGCTAGGCAAGAGGCAAGAATGGTTAGTTAAAGAGTATGGTGTCCTACTTAGGGATGGTTAAAAAGAGACTTACCCAGCTTGTCCACAAATGCCGCCGACAGCTGGCCTTGGGGGAATAAGATGGAGAAGTTAATGATGCTCTTAGCCCCCCTTGCCCTGGTGGATATGTCAGCATGCACCTTGGCGAGCCTGTCAAGCCAGTGCTCATAAATGGTCTTTTTAAAGTCCCACACAGTCGCCACCACGGTGGCCTTATGCGTGATGCTAACCATCTTCCCCACCACCTTAGAGAGATACTTGGTTCTATACTGCTTTTTATTATTTTCTATCTAGCTGCTTATAGGGTATGGCCCTGGAAGCAGTAGGAGGAGGAATAATACATTACTAAATTTTAGGTGCGAAGGCTGGGCGCCATAGTTAATATGGTATTCATAAGTGCCCTCACCCGCTGATGAGTTAAACCTATTGCAATCTGTATTTAGTCATAGTCACACACACACACACTATCACATAAGAGGAGAGGAACATAGTAAGAGATAAAAAAAGAAAAATTAGCATACTTATAATCTCCCTGGTTTGGGATAGGACCTGTCGCAGGAGGCTAGGAAAGTGAGGCCATGATATTAGGTAAATTTAACTGCATAATCTCACTGTGCTTAGCAAGAATGGACTACTCTTGTAATTCACTTTTAGTGCTGTTCAGGGTGTCCATAAACCAATCATCATCCCCAGCAGGTGGTCCTCCCCCCAAGGTTAGGTCACGGGCCATGCTCTAATAGCTGAGCATCAAGCGGCCCCTGGGGATATAGGCATCTGCGACCTGCGTGTGGCCCTAAATGGTGGCGGTCTGGTTATTGGTGAAGGCCGGGACAAAGAAGAACATGGTGCCTAGCTAGTCCATTCTGGACTTAAAAAGATCTAAGGCAGAGCCCCTAAGCTACTACTATAGGGTGGTCCTGATGCTATTAATACTTCTTAGGTCGCGAGGGATAACCACATGAGGAATAGGTGTGGCAGTGGTTATAATTATAGTTATTGTGGTGATGTCACTTGCGCTATAACTGGTCACCTAGGTGCAGAAGGAGATGGTGGATGTTATTATAGTGATAGCCTGCTTAGTGAGCTTCTAGAACTCTTTAAAGGGGATCTAAGGTACCTGTATTAGGGCAGCCCCTTCAGCAGCCTGCTTGGCTATAATACTATATAAGAGGGTCATGGTGTACACACTAGCTATTACTATCTTATAGCTGTCCTCCTCTAGGTCTGGCTTGTCTGGGTATGTGGGCTTGTGATTAGGGCTAATGCTAGAGGGAAGATTAAATAAAAGTATTAGTAATAATATAGTAGAGTGGAGGTGGAGGAGAGATAAAGACTATATATTACTTAGGGATATTGTTAGCTAACTTATATAATTTAGGGCTAGGGGATTTTCAGTGTGAGTCCTAGGGGTGGGTTAGATTTAATGGGTGGCGGGCCTCCCCTGTATAAAAAGTTTAGTATGGCGGCAGCTAAGAGAAGGAAGGTATTAGCTTATACTAGGGAGAGTGATATACCTAGGGTAGATGCTTAGATTCTTAAACCTAGGCAAGATGATACCACTAATATTAGGGGGGCATGACCATATGAACCAGGTCTAGCAGGGAATGACAGGAATAGGATTACCACTATCTACCTGGGTTGCAGTGGGCTCTGGGAGCCAGTTACTAACCTAACTTATAGTTTCTGTGGGGAAAATAGTGGTGGGCAATAGCCTAGTAATAATAGGAATAATAATAACAGGGCTACTAGTAGAGATCATTATAGAAGTTCTACTTAGATCTAGTATTGCACTAGCGCTACTCCATGGCCATGGAGGTAGACGGATAGTCTAGGCTACAGGCACCACTAAACCTGGCGCTCGACCCGAAGCTCTGAAAGACCTGGCAAACTTTTAGGGGTGGCCTGAGCCATAACCCCATTACTCTGAATCGCGCCTACCTGACCACAAAGCAACGGTGTCATGTCGCCCTCCAAGGCTCCATCCAGAAAGTCTTTGGCCTGCGAGAAGAGCACCGCGTGTCCCAGACGCTATTCAATCAAATCATGTGAGAATTCCAGGACCGGGGACAGTTCACAACCCCATTCCTGAGGAGTCCTGATTCCGCGGAGAGTTTCTATGCCCTCCAACCTCTTTTCACCAACCCCGTCTCATTCTCCCGGAAGAAATCATCAGAGGAACGCTGAATGGCATTATTGGAAATATGGCCATAACCAGCAGTCCGGTAAACCATCTAATTTTTCCCAGGGCGTTAAAGAGTGAGCCCACTTTCGAGGAGCGTTCCGTGCACTCCTAAGAGCGAGCCGGACAGTTCTAAGCCTACAGATGAGAATCTGGTTCATTTCCAAACAGCTTGATTCTTTACAGAAGTTCATTCATTCGTTAAGCGTTTTCCGAATCTCTATTCGCGACAAGATCAGTGCAGTCTCACGCCTGGGAACCGCGGCGCAACACATATATAGACCTGTTGCTGTCCCTCTCCGCCAGTCCTGAGCTCAGGCTTATGTTATGTTTGGGACACGCAAGGACTGCAGGGTTGCAGCCAGGAAATTATAGCTCAAGACGAACATAATCAATCTTCTTGACCAGAAGGCTTTCACTGATGACGTTGATAAGTGTTCGCTCAGATCAGTGCCGGCCTCTAGAAAGATCTAGCCATTGAGTTCCCTGTCTCCTAGATTCTCATTGCACTCAGTTTTACCGCCCTTGTCGCCCTCAACATCAACAGCACTTTCCTCGAGATGCTTACTTACACTGCTCTGTTACCTTCCTCATGTGCCGTCTCCTCGCCGCCTGGAACCGTCTAAAAGTTCTCAATATGTCACCGTCGCTCAGGTAATTGCGTCCGCTGACTCCGGTCCTCGACGGGATGCACTCATCATACCTCGCTGTGCAGCATCTGGCTATATGAGCTACTCATCCAGGGGGGCGCTGTCGGCATTCATGACGCTCTTCGGCAGTGTGATGCAGATGCGTTTAGGGATGTGCATGAGGCTGCAGACACTGATGGAAGCACAGCCGCCGTCTCTGTTACGGTCAACCACCTCAAGGTCATGGCCGGTCCGATCCGACGGAGATGTACAGGATGATCCCGTGGCGGCTGTTGGTTTATCTTATCGGGCTGGCGTGGTTGAAGTTTTTGAGCTTGGGGGTCTATGTTCTGGGTCATGCGGTGGTGTCGTTGAAGAATGTGTTGGCGTTGCCTACGTCTACGCGAAAGGTGTCTGACAGTGACGGGCAGTGTTTGTGGATTCAAGCAATAGCAGTGACGACTAGTTTATTAGTGATGGATGAGTTATGCCGGTGCGTAGATCTCCGCCTCGATAATTCCCAGATCGCCGTCCTCTGAAGCCACCGTCACACTCTGGCCAACAGCAGCATTGAGATCCAACGTCACATAACCCAGAGAAGTTGGTGTGCTCCCTTCATAAACTATGTTGTCGTCCACGCTGATATGAACTGGATACTTTGTCGTTCGGAAGCTGTGGAGCTTCATAACCATCTGCGACACATTGACTGGACTGTCCCAAGAGTACTTGATCCAGGTGCTGTTTTTTTCCCCGTCACAGGACCACTCTGTTTCCTCATCATCGTCGTAGGAAGCAATCATGTTCTCCGTGTCACATCCAGCAGTGACCTTCGGAACCTCCACAGCTTTGCGAGAGATGGTGTATGATTCACCCGACGGTGTCGGACCGCGAGAGAGAACAAAAGGAAGATCTGACCCAGGAATGACGGTGCTCAGCCCGCCCTTACTGGCAAATGGTTTGGTGTTGAGGGTGATAGTTGCTGGTTTGAGCCCGTCGGATGTAGCAGTCAGAGCCACTTTGCCGGCTCTTGTGGTAGACCGCAGCATGACCCGGTTGATTCCGTTTTCGACTGGGAGGGTAGTTGACAGGATGCAGTTGTCGGCACACTGAGCGATTCCGCCACGCCAGGAAGCCTCACCAGAAAGAGCAAAGTCAAGGATGCTCAGAGCAATGGGGTTCCTTTCGCCCTTTGCATCGACTACCTCGACATCCACAAAGGCAATATCCGCACCATCAGCCACAAATCCAGATGGCCCGGTATGAGGCGTCAGTCGGATACTGGCGGGCTCACCAGCAGTCGTCTTCGTGTCCAGCACGGATTCACGAGCGTCCAACTTTCCTACGGCCCTGATCGTGCCAGACTGCCAAGTTACATTAGCGAAAGTGAAGAGGAATCGGCTGCTCTGCTCGCCCTTGCCCACAGACTTGCCATTCAGAAACAGCTCCACCTCTTCTGCCGTGGACACAACATAAACATCCTTGACCGTACTGTCGTTGTAGTTCCAATGCCCGATGATATGCCCTGCCAAACGCTCGACATCAACCCAGCTATCCCACATCACCTTGTGCGCGTACCACCCATCCTTCGGCAGCCGGACAGCGTCCACCTCGCCAGACCGTCGGTAACTCTCCGCTCCTCGATGGTGTGTATTCGAGTCAGAAAATATAATATTCACCCCTCCGGCATTAACCCTCGTCCCCGTCCCAGGCCGCTGTTCGAAATAATCAAACCATCTCCGCACATTCTCCACCGCATGCGAGTCCTGGTTGCGGTTGTACTCGCTCGCATCCTCCCCCTTGTACGGCGGCCCCGCCCCGTCCACATGGTACGGCGGCGACCAGTCATCCCAGTACTTCCTCAACCCCTCGTCACGACTATACTCCATCTGCCAGAGGGGGATGCGCGCCCCCTTATTTATATACAGCATTTCGCCCCCGTACTCCGCCACGGAGCTATTCAGCATCTCGCGCGATCCCGCCGCGCGACCCCCATGCGGATCGTACGTATCCCGCAGAGCCTTCATCTCGCTCATGTGCGCCTCCGAGATCCCGTGGTTGCCGGCTTCGTAGAAGATGACGCTGGGGTTATTCCGGTTGTAGATGATTGCGTCGCGCATGAGCTCCGTGCGCTGCGCCCAGCGCCGGCCTGTTGCGTCGCCTTCGGAGTCGCCCGCCGGCAGGGCCTGGAGCAGGCCAAGGCGGTCGAGGGACTCGACGTCTTGTTTCCATGGGGTGACGTGCATCCAGCGAATGAGGGCGGCGTTACTGGCGAGAACGAGGCTGTTCGAGAAATCGGAGAGCCAGGCTGGGGCGGCGCAGCCGAGGGCGGGCCATTCGTTTGTTGTGCGTTGGGCGTAGCCTTTTAGGTGGAGGGTGCGGTCGTTGAGCTTGAACGCGCCGTGGGTGAACTCGGTCTTGCGGAAGCCGGTGCGGGTTGTGACGGTGTCGATGGCGTGGTTGTTGAGGAGTAGCGAGGTCCGGACGTCGTAGAGGTAACCGTATCCCCAGCTCCAGAAGTTTAGGTCGGAGAGGTGTGTTGCGGTGCGGATGGTCCAGGTCTCATTCGCTTGTAGGGTGTACCGGCCGCCGGTGACGGTCTTGAGTTTCTTACCCTGCACGGTATCGTGGATTTCGACTTGGTACTGGAATGTCCTGGCTTGTGGATACTCATTGCGAACTTGCGATTCTATGTTGATGGTAGCGCTCTTGCGGGGTATATCCAGGTCGGTGGCATAGATGTAAACCCCGGTGGTCTGCAGATTGGAGTACAACGGTAGAGTCTGGTAGAGCCGATCCGTAACATGCAGGAAAACATTCTTGTTGATCCCTCCGTAGTTGGCATAGAAATTCCTGTCGTTCCACTGGTATGGCGTATTGGTGGCCTTCTCCCGGTACGTCCAGCTATTGTCGATTTGAGCCGCGAGGACGTTGGTCTGATTGTAGAGCGTGACATCGCTGACATCAAAGCCAAAGGCCATGACCCCGTTCTCGCTGCGACCGATCCACTTGCCATTAAGGTAAAACTCCCCGGCGTGGCGGATGCCTTCGAACTCGAGAAAGACTTTCTTATCCCGGCTCGTGGCTGGCAGGTCAAAGTGCTTGCGGTACCAGGCAATTCCGGTGGACAGGTTGGCAATGTCCACGCGGAAAGCATCATCTTCATTCCAGGCGTGGGGGAGCGTTACGTCCTTCCAATCGTTGTCGATGAAGGACGGCGACTGTGCAGACGCAGGATTGCCCACGAGTACTTTCCACCCAGGGTTGAAGTTGTATTTCATACGGCCATCATCTCTTGCTTGGACGATGAGCAGGAGAGAGAAGAACATGAGGGCTGAAAGAATAGACTCTCTCATTGTAGATATATCGTCAGATACCAATTAGAGCCTTAGTCTGTGTATCGTCCTCGACTGGTAACCCATTTATACCTTCGCATGGATCAGATACTCCGCAGCCATCCTGCCACAATGGACATTCCGATGTCAATTACCGATCCCAGCAACGGCAACTGCGTAAGGCGAGGGTGTCGTTAATCCACCACTGGTAGGCATCCCTGAGATAGGCTGGGAGAGATCTCATCGCAGTAATCCGCTGTTCAATGGATTGAGCAAAGGCCGAGCACCCTGTGATACCGAATCGAATCCAGGAGATCTGCACCGAATTAATATATTCTCTCTTGGCAATCGGCAAACGGGGCCAGAAACTCGCAGTGATATGCTGGGCCCCCGCACTTCGGTTGGAGCTATCCCGACACTGGGAGAACCCTGCATGTGCTGGACGTCTGGTGAGCCACTTAGCCAGCCTTTGAACATCGATCAATATATGCTGCACTTGCTATAAATCTAGCACATACGACCACAGGGGAAAGGGCTCAGGGCTATGGCTGATGGGGCTTCATCATATTCTCCCATTAATACCTTTACCGCTCCAACCCTCTCCACCTTTATCCTTCTAGTGATAGGACTCAAACAAGGATTGATCGTCTTCATCCTTTGTATCTAATCTGCCCACCCTCACACAAACTAGCTGAGGTCAAGTGAGTTCTGCTTCGATCTCACCGTGACTTGGCAGATATTTTCTTGAAGAGGGAATTGGATGCCTTTCCACCCTGCAGGGGAGAAATTGAGCAGCTAAACAACATTGCATATAGGCTCTGTTGTACAAAGTCAATGCAGAGGATCTTGAGGCGGAAAGAGAATACATCATTGACAACTTACAGAAGGTTTCTATCGTACAACCAGGGGGCGTTTACATCATCAATCTTTACGGAGAGAAAGGCTTGAGAACTCCCCTTTTGGAGAGATTTTTGCAAGCCCAACCTCAGCACGAGAACAGGCCTATTACCCATCGCGTTTGATCGATTAGGTTGTGGATATCATATCTCATGCCAAGGTCTATACAAAGCTGGATATCTGGCAGGTTTCCACAGTGTACTATTGGAGCAACAAATATTGTTGCCATCCGGAGCTCAGAATTAGTCAGGCAACAGAAACAGAAAGCCGTGCGGCAAGTACACGCAAGGGTAAGCAAAAATGAAGGGGATTGTAAGACATATATTCTGTATATCAAGAGATCTTTAATATTTTAGGAAAATCACAAGGTGTCCGCTCTACAGGTAGATTTGCTACTTAAAGCATTTGTACAATATTGTAATGTCCTCCGGATAACGCAGCCTGCAACGCATTGCCATGCACTCCACCCTGGGCGTTAGCATCAGCTACGTGTTGCAGTAGCATCTGTACAATCTTATCATGTCCTTCCAATGATGCAGCATAAAGTGCCAGTATACGGACCCGAACTCCTCCCTCTACATGCGCGCACCAAGGGGTAAGTCGTATGCTAAGTGACAGTTCCCATCCCATGTGATCTGCTAACCTTCCCCCGTACCTCCTCTGTCGAGAGAAGGGGGTCACGGTATAGCTAGGCAAGCAACCAAGGCCAGAAAATGGAAGCACGCCCAAAAGCACCGTCGACGGAAACAACCGTGACAGAGATGACAACGTTGGAGAAGATATGGGGCAAACTGTTTAAGGAAGGCAAGCCAACCAAGAGACTAGGCCAGCTCTTACACAGCATAGCAGTCCATCTGGTAAGCATGGATGCCGTTGATTGGAGGAATTTCGCAGCTGACAGTGTGAAAGACCCCGGTGGTATCCTCAAGGTGTCACAGTCACATCAAATGAGGAACAAACGCCTTCCTGATGGAGCGGTGGGATTGGGCTTCCACGATGATCACAAGATGACGGGACAAACGAAGTGGGTACTTTGGCAGAGATGAAGGGAGTTTCAAGACATGGAACCTTTCCATCTTTTCTCCGCTGTAATTGCAAACTCTAGGCTCCAAAAAGCCCAGCCACCACGTTCCGTGCCAAGGGAGTCCGGGGGCAACGCTCCCGAAAGCCCGAGATAGAGCCAGGTGGTGTATCCTATCTAAAACTCCTTAACAAATCCGAGGGTCTGGCCTATATGACGCCGGTATCTCCATGGTTCTATACCAATTTGCCCGGCTACGGCAAGAATTGGCTTTGGCGCGGGGACCACCTTTGGCATGATCGCTAGCAAGAGGTCTTGTCTGTCCACCCAGAATTCATCAAAATCATTTCGTGGAACGACTATGGTGAGTCCCACTTCATCGGACCGCTTCACGAAGGCGGGTATGAGCAATTCAGAACCAGCAAGGCTCCATTCAATTACGCGGAGAATATGCCGCACGATGGATGGTGAACCTACTGTCTAAGGTTGCCTTGGACTGGGTCCCATTCCACGCTTTTCATCCGTGCGCCCATAGTAAAAAATCCGGTGGGCAACAGCCACCTGTCCCACCATTCTAACTATTCCTACCTACACATGGAGAGAGTGCTCTCTCACCCTTTTTCTATTTCAATATATATAACAGACCCAGTCTTCAGATATAGAACTTACAGAGTACTTAACTAGCTAAAAGACCATAGCATGCGCTAGCAGAAATTAGCATGCTAGTCTAATTATTAAATAATGATTAGATATTATAAGAAAAAGCAAAGTGTGTCTTTAGATGCAATATATAGAGATGGTTATAACACTAGTAAGGAGATACTAAAATACTTTTAATCTTAGTATTCTGCTTTCCCTGGCCATTAAGATATTTAGTTAATATATTTTAAACCTTTCTCTTATAATGCCGTCTTCTCCAGCCTATCTAGTATTTATATAGGAGTGGCCTTCCCTTCCCCTATACTTAGACTAGGGTGAATATATTATAATTTACACCCTATGCTAGTATGCAATCTCTACTAAAGGTATATAGATAAGTAGTTATTTCTAGAAGAAACACCACATCCCTAAGAGCTAATAAAATAGTCTAGATTAATACCTTTCTAATTAATATTTTAAAAGTGGTAGCTTAGCTAAACCATGGCTAAATAGATCACCATCTTATCCTACCCTTTGGGTCCATACTAGATTTTAGTATGTATAATACCCCTATATAAGTACTAGTCTAGATCTCATGGGCTGGCACCTCAGGGGGTCTTATACACTAGATAGACCTTCTACATAGCTAGATCTAGATCTACTCTACTAGCCAGTTTCTATACAGTCCTGGACCCAGTTAACTGTGACCTAATCATACTAGATTATTAATAGCAACCCAAGTAGCTTTAATAGAGATACTATAAATAGTCCTCTGGAAGAATAATATTATGCTACTACTGCTATATTTATATATAATCTCTAATAATAAGAGGCATAGTTTTATAAAGTCTAGTAATAGTAAAATAGTGTCCTGTATAGTGGGTAAAGCACCTATAAAGGAACTCACCTGTGGCTAGAGTAGATATAATAGATCTTAATATATCAGGGCATTCTATATGATATCTTAAAGTGATTAATGCTGCTATAAGGGAAAACCATGGTAGTTATCAATGCCCACCCCTGTAATATCTGATATTATTTTTCTCTCTCTAGATAGTATAGCCTTTAATAGTTTAGAAACTACTTCCCTTTTATTTTTATCTATTTTTATTAATTTTATATCGCGGTGGAAAAACCAGGATATTATTAGTAGGGATAGGCTGATAATTCTTATATAATAATTATCAGCCCCTTACTATAAATTATTAGCCTATGATTCTAAACCTTATTATACTCTCCTAAACTCTAGTTAAATTAAATTAAACTTTTAGAGAAGCTTTATTTTATTATTTTTAATCTATAAATCTATTCTTAACTATATTTAAGTACCCTATAGTGGAATATCCCCTCTACTAGGTATAGTGATTTAGTAACTAGTAACTACCTATAATAATTAGATAGAAGCCCTACACCTTACTCTCTTCTATATTATTATCTTTATCATCAGTAGTGTCCTCATCTAGTGGAAAGGTAAAGTTATCTAGTAGATATACTGGAAAATACTAAACCTTTATTAGGTAGCTTAAAAAAGTCTAGTAAAATATTTAAGAGCCCTCTCTGATTAGGTTTATATAGTTAGTGGCCTAGTTATGTAACACTTAGCTACTATTAATAACTATCTAATACTAGTAGAATTAATTAGCACAGTGGTACCCTTTCATTATCTATAGGTATGGGATTACAGGGATCCTCTAGTATAAGTATAGGTGGATAATATCACTCTATAACTTAGCTAGCTCTTAGATTAGCTGTAGAAAGCTAATATTATATAATACACTGTCAGTTACTCCATAGTGGTAGATTAAGTAATAGTTAAGCTTATCCTAGATAAAGCAGCTTCTATATTCCTTATAGAGAACCACCTGCCATTATGATATAGACTATAAGAAGGGTGGTATATATTATAATAACTTAAGTTGCTATAGTATTAGGTTAGGGTCCCTTAGAGGGATAAGGGTAGTTACTACCTAATAATTCTCTCTTACCTATAGAGCCCTCTACTATATAGCTAGTATAGTCCTTATCTTATTAAGTCTAGTATTTTCTACCTAGATAATAATTCTATGCTCTACCTAAGTATATTTATAGTCCTGATTAACTACCTCCTATAAGTCTAGAGGCTAATAATATGTTCCTAGTAGGCCTCCCTAGCTAGCATACTAATCATCCTAATAGCGTAACTAGTATAGATTTAGCTGGCACCATAGCTCTAGAGAAAGGATCTAGTCTTTAATATAGTAGCTAATATTATAATAGAGGAAGATGTTTAGATCTATATAGATTTTAGAGTAGGCTAGGTAGACTTTATATTACTAACCCTAAGTAAAAGCTCTTAGTAATAGCTTATGCAGGACCCATAACTAGTAATTATAGTTACTAGTATCCTATTCTATAATAAATAAGTTATTTAATATTTTAATTATAATTATCTTAAGCTCCTTCTAATCTAGAAGAAAAGTAGCTAAGTATAATACTACCTCTAGATAATTCTCCTAATTATTAAACTTTATCAAATTTTAACTAAGGGTGACTAACTCTATTAACTAATATACTATAGATAGTAAGTACTTAAGTTCCTCTAATAGCTGCACACAGCTAGTTGCTTTTAGGATTAATGAAGTCATGGTACAGAGATATATATTTAGTAGTGGTGATAAGAGATAAACTATATATTTTTATATATACTATATTTACTATATTCCCTCTGCAGCTGCCAGGGAGTTATATAAGCCATATATTCTACTATGAATTATTAGACCATGAATTATTAGACTATGAACTATTAGACCATGAACTATTAGATCATGAACTATTAGATTATGAACTATTAGACTATAAACTATTAGACCATGAACTATTAGACCATGAAGTTGCATGAGTTAAATAAGATAAAGTTAGAGTTATATAACTAAACTACTAAAATTAAATCTAACCCTTACTAAACTTATAGTGGTTTAGGTTTGGTCCCCTAGCCTAGGGAATCACACTAGTTTTAGTTTCCCTATCCCACAAGGGGCGGAGCTTTGAGGGCTCACTGGATTTAGGGTATTGTTGCTGATTGGCTGGTGGTGGGTGGGTCCAATGCTTACTAGATTTAAATATGGTCACCCCCACTGCAATTAGCACATTAAGCTTAATTCAGCTGAAAATAAGATATATTATTTAGGGGCATTAACTATATAACTTATTTACTCTAGAGATGAAAATTCCATGTAGAAAGGGTATTACATAATAAAGAAGTTTAGGATGGTCTATAATTAATTTATTAGGGGATTGTAGAGATATTATACTATAGAATATAATAGGTCTAAAACCATCCACTCCAGTCAGAGGGCTTGGATAAATAAGCTAACCTATTCCTATTTAGCTGATCTAGTTTATTTAATTACCTACCTGGATAATTCTAATAATATAGAGCATTAGATATTTAAAAGAGTTAGCACCTTAAAAATCATTATTTATTAATAATACTAGTATAGGGTCTAACCCTAAGAGGTTACATGGCACTTATAGTCTAAGTATTAGATAAAGCAGGCTGATGCCATCATGATTGCTAATATCATTCAGGGGTGGGAGGATATTAAGTAGGATTTTAATACTATCTCTATCCCACTTATATTAAATAATCTACTGCCCATTTTACTATGTGAAGCTAATAGCTTATTATACCAGTGGGATTACCCCTAGTACTAGTATATGGTTAGCTACATAAAAACCATGCAATAACACTAGTAGACTAAGTATTAATGGACCTAGCAGAGATAGCATGATTAGGTTAGATATAAAGATTAAATCTAGAGCACCACAGAGCTCCACTAATTATTTTAATGTATTTAGTAGCAGCAGATGTTTCCTAGTGGGCTAGGGTCCTATTATATTTAGATTTAATTTCCTGAGTGACCTAGTGAGCAACCCAGCCCTACCCCCACCCATCATGCCCAGGCAGCAGTAGATAAGGTGCTGCAGGTATGGGAGCAGGCCTAGGCCTAGGTAAAAGCCTAGCAGACTGTCCAGGCTAGTAAGCTCACCAATGCCAACCCATGACTATAGATAACTAGGTGGGCTGATTACCTGCAGGGCATTAGTAAGAAAAACTTATATGACTGCGTGGAGACCCCCAAGGAAGATCCCTAGGATGCCATAAGTAGTATATGCAGGTTATCTAGGCCACCATAGAGCAGGTTGCCTGCAAGAGCCAGTGGATAGTCCAGCAATGCGGCCAGGCCATCTGGGTTAAGGCTGTCTGGTCTAAAAAGAGGTAGACCCTGTACTGGCTATTATTAGCATACATAGATGAGGCTGCCATCCAGAAGTATGTCCATCTATGGTAGCAGATATTAGTATTTATTATGTGCATGCAGGCCCTGCATGACTGGACCAGCCTAAAATATAGGATGACCGCCCAGCAGCACAAGAAATGGTGGCAGCTATGGCAGCTAGCTAGCCAGGCTGCAGTTCCTGGGGACCTAGAGGACCTAGAGGGATAGGCTATGACTGCTATTAAAAAGGCATGCTTAGAATTTTATATTAAGCTACTTAATCAGTGCCATCATAGCTATAAATATGAGAGTGCATTAGTATGCGCCATGGCTGTGTTAGGGTAGGGGTAAACCAGCTGGTAGGACCCTAAGAGCTACCCCCTAATATTATCCTATGTGATTAAGGTG